TTAAATTCAAAATTTTATCTTTTGTCTAAACTGAGCTATATGCAAAAACATAAAATGTTGCAAAACTTTTTTGACACTCGGTATGTTCGTTGTATTTCTTTCGTTTCATACATATATGATTAATTATGTCTTTTCTTTCGTACTTTTAGATATTTTCCTTAGTATGTTCTTTTGCTTTCTTTCTGTACTTCCGTTCTTTTCTTTGATCTAACAATTCTTGTTCGTTTTCTTCAATCTCTATTCTTATTCTTTTTTTTTCTTGTAAAAGTCGAAAAAATCTTTTTCTTGACCCTAAACTGGAATTTATTGCACAGTTAGTAATGCATACTACATATATATATATATATGTGGGTGTAACTCTATAAGAGGTGAGATTATTGTTTTTTGATTTAACAAAAATATAATTGATAAGAAAAACTTAAGTAATATCTTAATAATTACGTAATACACATCAACGTTAATATCGGATATAACACACATTGAATTTTATTATAGTTTACGTTTTTAAAAATAATTGCCTTGTAAAGTGTCTTTCTATTATATATTTATAAATTTTACTAGTGAAGAAATAAAGATATCATTAAAACCAAATACAAAAATTCATGTATGTCAATGTTGACTATATATTTCAGCACTAGATTTAGGTACAGAGCTGAAATTTTGAGAAATTGAAGATCTTAGTTAGATATGTATGTGATAAAAATCTCAGCCTTCCTACATTAAGAAAAAATAGGAAAAATGTCATTGATAATTTATCCTCAGTTATTATGAAACATCCTTTAGGCATTTTTTTTTTTGTACAAAATGGTATAATGGCTGTACTCTTCACTAATATATGTGATTAAAATGTCAGCCTCTCACGTTAAGACTAAGTATGAAAAAATGTCCTTCACAATTTATCTTTATTATTATAGGGCATCCTTGAGAATCCTAAGTGAATAATGACATACTTCTTATTTCAAGTAAAATAAAAGAAGAATTAATTAGAAAAAATGTTTATTAAGTCTATTTATATGTTTACATAATTGGTAAAAAATATTTACAAAACTTGTAAAACTCGAACACAAATAAAATAGAAAAAAAACATCCAAAATCTTTTTCTCTTTTTGTCATAATCATTCAAAATCGTTTCTATATGTTGTTAAATATTCTAATTTTTTATAATAAGAATAAAAGTTACTTTTATTATGATTCTTTTATTCTAAATGTAAATTATACTCATACGTCCTTATAAAGTATTAATAGAATAATTTCAACTAAATAGGTAAAAAATGATAATAGATGTAAATCCCAAAAGATCAGCAACTCTATTAACTTTTGTATCATGATGATAAATTATTCTGATGAAGCGTATTTCCTCTGTCTTCATCTTATTGTGTATCTATATATAAGTATGTAAAACAAAAGAAGGAAAAAAAATGTTTTGTCATATATATAATACAAGTTTTCTGTCTTGAATAAGCATCAAACAGAGACATTAGTTGTATGCGTTTTCCTTCTAATCCAGGAAAACTTCTTTCATCGCTGTAAAAGAAAATTCACTATTTAGATTATTTATTATAAACATTTATAGATATAGATATATATATATAGATATATATATAAGCAAATACATGGCAATCACTTCATATATTTCGTTTATCTCCTTGACATATTGTGTGATCATTTTATCTATATGTCAGATGAACTTATCATCAGCACTACTTCAAAATCAAAATGAAAACCAACTACTTAATCAACAACAAGATGGTCGATTGGGTTTTTTTCATGAATATCTTCGAAATAATTATCCAGTAAATTATATTTTGTAATTAAATTCTTCTATTTATATATTATTTTTAGATTAAACAACAGCTAGAATCTCCATATGATCCAGCTGTATTTTTTAATAATCAAGAAAAATCAAATATACATCCAGAATTAATCGCTCATCTCAATTGGTTGAAGCGTGATTTACGTTTAAATAATCCAGTCAATAAACGCATGCTTTGTTTTTTTCATGCTGTCAATTGTTTTGGTTAACAGAATTCATTTATTTCATATCGTAATATATATATGAAAAAGAAGAGATAAATGTTTTTTTTTGAAGTAATCATGTGAAAATATTGAACAAAAACATATTCATTAAAAAAAACCCAGATATTATTTTTTTTTCGACATGAATTTTGAGAAATTCATATATTAAAATAAAATAAAATAAAAAACAAAACAACAACTTGTCTATTTAATTTAATATTAGACTATGAAATGAATGATTTGTTATAATTAACATTTGATATTTAAATGAAAGCAGACGTTATCACAAAATTAATACCTTCGAGAATAATAGTATTTTTTTCTGTAAATGACACATTCTTATTAAACACAAATAAAAGATGAGTTTATAAAAAATTAATTTTTTTTCTCCTTTATCTTTAAATATATCAATTTTACATAAATCTATTTGATAGAATACTTTTTCTATTTATTCAACATAGATAACCGCTATGATATACACATAATTATTATCAATATATAATCTCTTTTTTATTTATAATATAATTATGAAGTTCACTTAAATTTAAGTAGATATGCAATGTGAATGCTAATTTACTATAATAAAAAACTTCAGACTCATTGAAATATAAAGATTTTACATCTAAATTTTGTTCTTTATTACAATTCTCATATAAAAAAGAAGCGACAGAGTACTTTTACTTCTTTAAAGGTACTCGCTATAAATAAAAAAAACAATTTTCATCAAAATAATGAATTTTAAATTAAATACACCGACGCTGCTATTTTTACAAAGAACTGGAAATGTTTTTCTGTTTATGATATTTTGATTCCATAACCCAGAATTTTTTTTCTCTATATTTAATTCTTTTTTTTTCGTTTGAAGAAACATGTCAAGGTGCATGGTATAGCAGAGTCTTGGTTCTGAATTAAGCAATGTTACTATTATGCAAAAGAGTACTTTTTTTTAATTAGACCACGATTTTTTTCAGACATTGAACTTATCAAATGTTTTCTCCGCTTAAAAAGTAAACATTTAAAAAAAGTACCAACATATCCTGATATTTTCAGGCGATTTGAATATATATCTGGTGCAAAATCGGTTTTTGAAGAGTGGGATGGACCTTAATACAAAGAATTTTTGACCTTGATGATTTTAGTAAATATTCATTTGACGATAATAATAAAAATTGAGCTTTCGTGTGTCATTTACGTTATATGATCTATGTTTTGAAGTAAGGTGATTAAAAATATCGTAAGAAATGTAGTTTTATATGAATATTTCCATGACTAAATCTGACACATTTATTATGAAAATTACGATGAAGTGAAAATGAATGTTTTCACATCAAAGATATTTATACTTATAATCACAAATGAATAGGTTTTATTATCTTGTAGATAAACATATATGGGACAAATTTAAGAGCATGTAATGATATGACTTCTTGTGCAATTTTGAATTAAAACGCTTCGCTCTGCATACCTATAAATATGTTCATATTGAAAATTCGTCGATTAATTTGAAATGAGATAAAGAGTAAAATAATGATATTAATTGTCAAGAAGAATAAGATATCAAAACCTATTGGAATTTATTACGTTTAATTAAATTACTGGAAGGATCTAATACTAGCATATAAACAAGCTTGAAGGCTGGATGATACCCACACAACTAAAGAAATCGTACCATTCCCAGTAGCAATGTCGCCATTTCACACCCATCTTCAAGGAAACATACTTGCTTGAAATAATAGTAAATCTTAATTAAATCCTATTTATGTGAGAACAAATGCATTATTCACAAGAAAAAAAGAAATTCTTTAACTGTAGTCTACATTCAAAATCATTAATCTACAAGGTTTAAGCAGATATTCATCATTTTTCTTTTTTATCCTAAGAAAATTCAAGCAGAAATGAGTCGAAGTATTTCTCTTAAAAACAGAAGATTCCTACTCAAACTAAAATCTACGTGCAAGAATGGTGAATAATAGATATATGTTTATATTCTTTCTTTTAATTCTTATTTGAAATGTATGATTTTATGTAGAATGAAACATTTCTTCATTGACTGATCTAATTACTCATTGCTGAAAATACCAACTGAACCAAAAAAAAGAATCTGTAGAGACTAACAGGTCAGTTGTTAACCTTATCCTTTCAATTTGACGATAACAGAAATACCGACATTCACTGAAAAATTCCAAAAAATAAATCCTGAAAGCTGCGGAAAGGAAGAAAGAGGTGCATAAGATCTCGAATAAGTCAACAAAGACTTTTATGTCTAATTCAATCAATTCACACATAGAACAAAAGCATAGTTATAGTTGCACATTTTAATAGTCTTAGCATCATCCATAAAAGGACATCTATTGCTATCGCTCATCTAATCACTATATGCCAATTTTTAGGAAAGTAGATAACAAGTAAACAAAAATCAAACAATGTTATAACCTGAATTTATCAGCTTTTTGTTGAGATTTCAATCTTCTATACGAATCATTCATTCAACTGTACTCTTTTGTCTGCTGTATAAGCACACACACAATTACTATATGGTGTGACTGAATGACGTTATTCTATCTTTTGAGGTTATATTTCTTCTTAAAATGAAATTCATCATTCTTCTGATATATCTCATTCGACAGGTATTTTTAAGAGCTATAAAATTATATATTTCCTAAACTCGAAAAGATCTGGCCGCTTTAAAAACGACCAAGTTGAGTGTTTTTGAGACTTGATTGTGTGCCTCTTCAGCTAATATTGTGAAGATTTTGACAAGAAAAAGTTCAACTAGAATCTCGACTAATATGATATTTGGAATCAATACAAAAAACTAAGCCGATTTATGTGTAATTTAAATATTTCCTCAAACTTTTTATTTATTAGGAAATTATTTCCTGATTATCCTTCACGATCCAGCTAGATCTACTACGTTGTAATATAATAAGTTTAAGCTTTCAAAATTTCTTTATAGCATTCACAATGCGTCTTTGACAGAATTCAGTTTCATTTTAGTTGAATCCTGAGAGAGACCAGAAGTAAATTTTTTGGTAAAAAAACAAGTATGAAACAATCTTTAAATTATACACAAATCCACTTAGTTTTTAATGCCAATTCCGAATATCATATTATTCATGATTCTCATTGAACTTTTTCTGTCCGATATATTTCTCAACATTAGCTAATAAAGGCACACAATAAAATCTTTAATACACTTTACTTGATTATATTTTAAGTGCCTAATTTTATTTTGTATTTAGAAAATATATAGTTTTGTATGTTTTGAAATAAGCCGTACTACGTAGAATAATAGTTGATTTCATTTTAACAAAAAAGATATTTCGAAAAGTGCGCAAATATTTCACAGGCTTATCATATGAGTCTGTATTGTATTAGTCCAGTAAGTAACATAGTTATATTCAATTGACGGGTCATAGAAGAAATTGAAGTCTTAACAAAGAATTGTTAAACTATCATTGTAAGCCTTTCCTTGGAATAGAAGACTTTCTTCAATTGATTAATTTCTTGCGAAATTAGAATTTTAATTAGTATATTTACATCAAACTATGGATAGTTTTCAAATTGTTGACATGAAAAATCTTAAAAGACTTAGGTCAACATTATTCCTGAACTTTTAAATTCGTTAAAATGGTTTTGATCTGTTGAAAAACTCTTTTAATTAAAAATTATGAATATACATCAGATACAATAGAAGATCTGAGCTCTTCTATTGCGGGGATGAGGTTTATTACATTTTGTTGATGTTCGTAAAAAAAATTGACATCTAATGCTAATATGACTAATGACAAGAGATATCTTTTTATGGATCAATGAAACACTACTAAACTCAATTATGAATCATTGAATTCAATGTTAGAGTATCAGCATATACTGTGGATTTCATTCCATATATAATTTGATTCGATTGAGAATAAAGTTCGTGATGAACTGATCTAACAAAATCACAATTATTACAAAAACAATCAATCTCTTGAGTTTTAAACAATACTTAGCTTTCCATAGATTGATTCTATAAGCAATACTTGATTGTATTTCATATTTTTCTCGTTCGTTGTCATTCATTTATCATTGATTTTATGCTTGATTCTATCCTAAATGATTCTATTATAGCCCTTAGAAATGTGTAGACCATGAATTAGTTCAGATGTTTTTAACTTCCATAGAGAATTGATTAATGCAATTTATCAATAAAGATTAATTTATCATATATTCAGATTCCATGTTAAGAAGGAAAAAAAAACTCTCTTATATTCCTATCTATTTAATATTAATTATTATCGTCTCGATTTCTTAATGAAATGTGATCTAAGTATTTTTATTTTGATCATTATTTTAGTTTCATATCAACTGTTTTTGATATTTGATACTATTTAAAATCTTTTTTTTTTTAATGAAATATATATATATATATATATATATGTTTTTCTTTTATGAATGTAATCAGTGAAATAAAAATTAATGATTTAATATGATATAATTTTTGTTTACTTAAAATAGAATAAATAGATTTTTCTGTTAAATTATCTATGATGGTTTTTAATCCTTTTGTTCATTCTATACAAAAAGAAGAAAAGATTACATATATATGATTTATGAATGGATTAGAAATAAAAAAAATGTCAAAAGGATTTTGTTATAGAACAAAAACATGTTCTACATAGAGTAATTGATAAATTGAGCCGATTAACATTAAATATGAGAATTTATATTACAAAAAAAAAAAAAGAAAAAACAAATATTATTATTCAAGAAATTCTTATCTTGTAATATGTACTATAAAACTAGTAGAACATGTCGAGTCAAAAATTAAAGTACGTAAGCAAAAATAGTATATCAGGTTATAATGAAAATAGAACAACAAAAATAATACATTTTCGTTAGTAATAGATCGAATGAATGAAACAAAAAGAAGAAGAAGAAATTTGATCATTATGAGTTTACAAAAAAATGTCTACGAATGTTCTTATCAATTCGAATACATTCTTTCTTTTTCTTTATGTTATTTGAAACAAAAGAAATTTGTTGTCATTGACCAGAACATCGATATATGTTTAACACTTATGATTGTACTAGTTAGGGACAAATAGTTCATAGATTATTTAGATACAAAAACAAAGCAGAAGTATAAAACAACAAAAAATAGAAATACTTATGTCATCCTTTTGATAATATTATTATCATTATTTAATGAGAATTTGAAATGCCTATGGAGTTTTTTCTTAATATTTATCATTGGAAAGAGTAAGTGTTAACTTTAATTTATTCAGATTCTGATATAAAATCAAAAAAAATCAACAATTATTATTGATCCATAATCATAACAAATCTATTTTGACTATTTTATTTCTATTTTTTGTATGTCTCATGTAAAATATTTCTATTAATTTAAATCAAAGTGGCACACATAGAAGAAGACTATTATACATTAAATCCCTTATTTCCTTGCAGTGATCCAATACCAGTTGTATCCTCATTAAAAAAACATGTTCTTATTTTATTTGGTATTTTAATTGGAATATTATTTATATCAACAATTGTATTAGCAATTTTATTTACTATTGAAAAAAATAAAACAATAGCAATAAAAACAGGTAAAAAATAATAATAATAAATTATCTATTAATTGTTAAAATTTCTTTTTGTTTTTTTTCTAGTAGAAAATGATTTATGTGTAACTTCACCTTGTATTAAAGCAGGTTGATAAAATTATATGTATATGAAAAAAAGAAAGTAAATCAAAATGATTTCTTTTTAGCAAATTATTTACTTGAAAGTATTGATGAAAGTGTTGAACCATGTGAAAATTTTTTTCAATTTGCTTGTGGAACATGGTTAAAAAATAATCGAATACCTGATGACAGTAAGTTTCAATTTCTCTCCTTTTTTTCTTTGTTTTTAATAAACAAAGACATGTTGTTTTTTTTTTGTTGTTTTATTTTAAGCCGGTGCTCAAGATACATTCAACGTGTTACGAACTCAATTAGACAATCATGTTGTCGGTAAATAAGAATATTTGATTTATTCTAAATTAATACAGACTTTAATAGAATAAGGACAAGAAATTCATTGATTTTCATAGACATTGAGCTTAGAACATTTTTTTTTTTACAGAGAGCAAGTTGCTACCGAAAAAGAAAAATCTTAATCTTGGTATATTCATGCTTACTTTTCTATATAAAAGGACCGATTGACTTATTGTATGAAACTGCTCTATTTTTATTGTTTCTAATTCAAAACAAAAAAGCACGATTTTATCTATTATTAAACGTTATCTAAACTATAAAGAAACTTGATTCTTACTATCGTCATACAAACAATGTGAAGGCATATAGATTCTTAAAATATTTTCGAAACAAAAATCTCAATTGATAAAAAAAAAATAATACTAATCCCAACATTTCGTGACTGTATCTTATTTAACAAGTTTCTTCATATCGGTACTTAATTTAGTATTAAACAAAAACTAAGGTGATCGCTTGTTTGATTATCAACTTTGTTCGGTATTCATTTCACATTATTATTTTTTTAATAAAGTGTATGAGGTGCTTCTAGTCAATAGCCACCTCACTCTGTGGTATTTCCCCACTGAGTTAACGTTGTCGTTAACCTGAATAAGAGTCAAAGTAAACAATATATGTATATATATATTAAAATATTAAATTAGGAAACGATATTTTTACATGGATATGTAATTGTTCTACAGATACACGCAATCTATTCACTAATTGCTTTGATCATACATTAATCTGTTTGATCTCTGAAAACAAAGTGCTGAATGTATATTGTATAGAAACACTCAAGAAAGAATAATACAAAAAATCACAAGTCGAGAAAAAAAAACTTGGTGATCAAAAGTATCTTTTTCTAAAAAAAGAACCAGCTATGAAAGATTGATACATCTGTATTTAATCCAGATTTTCTTTACTCAGAGAATGATTTGAAAATCCGGAGTATCGAACATCGACTTTTGAAAACAAATATAATCTTTGAAGATTACACTACTGTTCCTTCATTTGTAATAAAATATTACAATATACTTCAGTTTGATATTTTATACAAATGAGATCTCATATTCATATTCAATACTTTATAGAATTTGTTGAAACGATTTTATTTTTTCACAGATATTTTAACATCACCACTAACAAATGATACAATTCAAATAAAATCTATTGCTAATGCACGTCAATTATATGATTCATGTATTGATGAATTAGCTATTGAATCTGCTGGTGTAGATACGGTGTTATCTGTTATTGATGGTGAACTTGGTGGTTGGCCTATTTTAAATGGTTTATCATGGAATGAAACACAATTTAATCTTTCACGTTTAATATTTAAATTACGCGAATATAATAATAATATTATTTATAATTGTGGTACAGCAACTGATGATAAAAATTCATCTGCTTATTACATACGAGTAAGATACAAATAAGAACTGTTAGTACAATCTTCGTGAGATTAAAATATGAAACACGATATACAAGAGGTCAAAAAAGTATACATCGACTTATGTAAGGTCATCCTATGTCTGAATTAAACAGATCAGAAAGTTTATTTCGAACAATGTCTTATTTTTTATTTCTATTTTTCAAACAAGTCGGTAGGATTATACCGAATTTTCATAACGAAAAAATTATTCATCCAATTTTGAAGAATTATACATCCTAAATCAATAATTAGCAATAGAAAAATATTTTGATTTCATTCATGATTTGAGAAACTCATAAACTCCGATACATCGAAGAGAGTCTTTTTTTTTTTAATTAAACAAAATAGAGATCGGCATCGAAATAAAATCTCTACTGAGCGATTTAGGATAGCATTTTAGCAAGTTTGAGTATATAAGAAGCTTGAAAATTACCAAATGCTCTTTTTTTTTGCAAGTTCCATTGAAAAGACTCGCCTAGAAAACAAATTCTAAAGCAAAATCATAACCAATCTCATAGCCGGATAGAATACATAAATCTGCAGTAAAAAACATCGGAAAGCTAAAGTTTGAAAGCCTTCCTAGTAATTTGTCACAGTTACAAGAATATTTCTCGTTATTACTAATTGACATGATACAAGCAGTATGTGCAAAGCCCATGAAAAAGTCAATGGTAGCAAAATTTTACGATTTCATAGGGTTCTAAGATATATGTATTTGACCTTGAGATAGGAAATGTTTTCTAGAAGATCACAACCGAATTTTAGCGGATAGTTTTATATACCATATTGGTATCGTGTCAATTATTAATAACGAAAAATATTTTTCTAGCTGTGACAAATCTTCAGGAAGACTTTCAAACTTGTTGAAATGTTATTCTAAATCAATATTTTTATCCTCAACAGAGATTTTGTTTTGATTTTGCTTAATTCTAAAGAAAATACTCTCTTCGATGTATTAGAATTTATGAGTTAAAAGATGGTCTATCACAAAATGTCCTTTTTTTTTGAATTAACTTTATCAAATTATTTATACTGAAATGTATTCCGTAAGATTTCGAATCATGAATAATATCAAAATGTTTCACTATTATTAATTATTAATCTAAGATGCATAATTCTTTCAAATCGGGCGAATAATTTTTCGTTATGAAAATTCAATATAATTGTACCAACTTGTTTGGAAAATAGAAACAAAGATATAGTATACTACATAATAATATATAATTGAACTCTCTAATCTGTTTAATTCAAGCATAGCAAAGAATAAAATAGGGATGATCTTACATAAGTCGATGAATAATTTTTTAATTCACTATAATTGTTATTCGTATTCTCAAAGAGAAAATTGCGAATATACCTGTATGCAGAAGAAGTCCAAATTTCCACAACATTCCTTTTAGATCGTGTATCACAAACTAATAATATAAAACAAAAATAAAAAAAAAACAATATTTTTCGTTTTTTTTTATAAAAAACAATATTTTTCGTTTTTTTTTATAAAAAAAAATAACTAGATAGCACAAAGTGATCTTGGCCTTGAACAACGACAATATTATTTAAATGAAACAAAACTTACACTTGCTTATAAACAATTTATGTATGATTTAGCTATGTCATTAACAAATGATACAACAATGGTTGATAAGGATGCTCGAGATATATATGAATTTGAAAAAAAAATTGCTTTTGTAATTAGTTTTGTTTTAATTTTGTTTTAATTTTAAATATTTTTTTTTTATTTTATAGTTTCATTGGACAACTGCTGAACAACGTGCAAGACAAAATGACATAATTCGTACAACAATTGGTAATCTATCACGAATATTTAATACAAGTGTTCGTAGTTTTTCTCTTTTTCTTTTTTTTTTTTTTTTATTAATTTCATTTTTTTTTCTAAGCAAAATTTTTTTTTTTTTTTTTTTTTTCTTTTTTTTTTTTTTTTTTTGTAAATTTAGTTTGATTTTACAAATTATCTTCGTCAAATTTATAGTTTAGCTAATGTTACATTATTCGATAATGATAATGTATCAGTTAGTGAATTAGAATTTTTACGTAATGCATCATTAATTATTGATCAACATTCACCACGTGTTTTACAAAATTATTTTATCTGGAGATTTATGATGAATAGAGCAGCTAATATGCCAAAACGTTATCGTGTTATAAGAGAACAATTTGATAGAGTGTATCGTGGTACTAATGCTGAACGTCCACGTTCAATATCATGTGGTGCTTATGTTAATAATAATATGGGTTTTGCTGTATCGAAACTTTATATTAAGAAATATTTTGATGAAAATGCTAAAAATCAGGTATAAAAAAAAAAGTAAAATTTTCAAAGTTTATTTTGTATAAAATTAAATCTACTGTTAAAATGAATTGTTTATGATATGAATATCTGAATCTTATGTTCTCATTCATACCATTTTATTTCGACATATATATATATATAAAAGATTTTGTACTGTTATTTCGATTATATTATCTCATTAAGTTATCTATTTGTAAATCACACATATAGTTTTTGTTTTGTTTTAGTCATTGGAAATGATTCATAATATTCGAAGTGCATTTATTGAAATGCTCGAAGAATCTACATGGATGGATGATGTTTCAAAAAGTAAAGCAAAAGAAAAAGTGAGTTTTAGCAAAAAAAAAAAAAAAAAGAAAATTTAATATAATTTTAAAAATAGGCTTTAGCAATCGATGAAAAAATTGGTTATCCAGAATATTTAAGTAGTGATAATATTACAGAATTAGAACAAGATTATGCTGAAGTAAAAGAAAAAAAAAAAAAGAAAATTTTTATTATAAGATATATATATATATATATATATTTAATTTAGTATAATTTTAATGAATCGTATATTCATAATATTTTTAAAATGTTAAAAATAAAATCTAAAGAAAATTTTAAAATACTTCGTGAAACTGTCGATCGTAAAGCATGGGGTGCTAGTCCACCAACTGTTGTCAATGCTTTTTATACACCATCGAAAAATCAAATTGGTAAATAGATTTTTTTTTTATTAAAAAATAATTATATGAGATATATATCTGTTGTTTTCTCTTAATGTTTGTAAGACAAGTTTATGTTATATTTTGTTTTTTATTTTAGCTTTTCCAGCTGGTATTTTTCAAATGCCTTTTTTTAATAAAGATACACCGAAGTAAGACGTTCTTTTTTTTTTTTGTTCTCTCATATTTGTTTTTTAAAATAATACAATTTTATTCTTTATGTAGATATCTCAATTATGGTGGTAAGTTTATATTTCATAACAAAAAAAAAATTATTAAAGAATAAAAATCTAAAATTTTAGGAATTGGAGCTGTCATTGGACATGAAATAACACATGGTTTTGATGATAATGGTCGCCAATATGATAAAGATGGAAATCGAATACTTTGGTGGACATCAGAAACAATTGATCGATTTAATAAACGTAAAACATGTATAGTTGATCAATATAGTCAATATATTCTAGAACAAATTAATATCAGCGTAATGAATAAATTGTTTCGAAGACTTTGATTTTATTTTTCTCATAACATTCTATTATAGATAAATGGCAATCAAACTCAAGGTGAAAATATTGCAGATAATGGTGGAATTAAAGAAGCATTTTATGTAAGTTTGATATATATATATATTGCTATCTCTGTATTACTTTAGAAATTAAGGCAGAAAAAAAAGACATTTTATCTTACGGATATAGATTCCATTTCGATAGGCATATCAAAATTGTTTGAAAATAAAATATCATAAAAGTTTGTCTAGTTTGAATCATCATGTTAAATTAGCAATTTTGTTTTTATTAAAATTATTCAGATACATTGCTATCGTGAATATAATAATTATGATTTTTTTTTTGGATGATTTTCTATTGATTGTAATACTGTAATCTTATTTACAGGGTGTCCCAGAAATAACCTACCAAAAAGAATATCGTTTATCTCTACTGTATTTCAACCAATTGAGTTGATTTTTGTTTTTCTGATGAGAGAGGAGAGTTCCAAGTTTTTATTCGTAAAGATAAAGTCTACGAATGATACTGAAAACTATTACTATTGACTTCAATACCAAATCGAAGCCTTATCCAGTTTGGTATAATAATAGTAGTAATGATTTTCAACATTATTTATAAAGTTTATCTTTGCAAATAAAAACTTAGAACTTTGGTCTACTACCAGAAAAAAATCAACTCAATTGGCTGAAATATAGTAGAGATAAACGATTTTATTTTTGGTAGGTTATATACATATGTAATAGTCTATATATATATATATATATATATATTTCTAGGCCTATAGAAAATGGGTTCAAAAAAACGGAAATTTTGATAAAAAATTACCTGGTTTAATTAAATATTCATCTGAACAAATGTTTTTTATTAATTATGCACAAGTATGGTGTTCAAAAATGACTGATTCATATGCTATGAATAGAGTTTTAACTGGTGTTCATTCACCTGGACAATTCAGGTAAATACATTTTCAATCAACAAAAAAAAGTCTATTGAATAGAATCTTATTATTTAAAAAAACAGTGTTCATTTGACATTACAAAAGTATGAAATGTTAAATGCAAGAAATTATTTCTTGTTAAGAAAGAAATTTAGATTTATACAATTCCTCAAGTTCACAGGACAAATCTCGCAGATAGTTTTTAAAAATTTTTATTTTCCACTGCCTATACAACAGACTATTCAGTTCTTAGTAAGCGAATCTTTTCCAAAATCTCATATTGTCTTTTTTTATGAGAAAAATACGTAAAAGCTTAGTGTCAAAACTGAGATCGTGTAGTCTTCAGGAGGATCCTGTCAATCCGAGTAGGAAAGTCAAAAATGAAGAATATTGCTCAGCATTCGTAGTAAAAATTTCAGTCCGATTGAACAAAGTTAGATGGAGCTCGATGCCACTCTATGGAAAATTTGGATTTCCAAACTAAAATCTATTTCAAAATTTTTTTCGTCGGACTCACATCTCCTTATTTTTCGTGCTCTACCTATAGTAAAAATTTCAGTTTGATCAATCGTTCGTATTACGGTATTTAAAAGAACCGCTCATTGTTATATCAACAATAATAATCACCTTACTTTTCTGTCTATCTCACTAGCGAAACATAGATCCCAAAGAAATCAAATTGATGCCATTTTACTTTTCTACTTACACTCATTTTAAAGCTGTAAGAATGTTTTAATCCTTGTAGGTGTGAGTAAAAGAAACTCGCCAATCCATTCACATCACTACATAAAAATTCTATATTTTCCAAAATTTTTCATTGAAGTTCTTTACCATCGAAAAGTTTTAATTATTAATATTCTTTATTTGATTTGTTTTAGAGTACTTGGTCCAACATCAAATTTTGATGAATTCGATCGAGTATTTGGTTGTAAACCAGGTCAAGGAAATAGTCGAGTAAATAAATGTATTGTATGGTAGATTTTACTAGATAAAACTATTTCTTTTGTTTTTTTTTTTCTTTTTATCTATTCATGTCGGTTTTAATCATTCACATGTAAAGACAATGACAAAAAAAGAAAAACGAAATAATAACAAATGAACGAATAACACAAAAAAAAAAAAAGTTTTTTTCTTTTTTAAATATTTCGTTTTTTTTGTCTCTTTTTTTTTCTTTCTTTTAAAAAAAAACACAAAAAACTTGGATACTTATTGAGATACATATAAATATATATGTATATATATATATATATATATTTTTATTTTAATCATCTTTTTTTCGTTTTTTCTTTTGTTGTTGCAATTCCGATGAATTATTATTAGTCACACAAGGATTTATCAATCCGATTTGCTGGTGTTGCTGTTGCTTTTTAGATTTTTTTGATGATTTTCCTGTTGCAGCCATTGGATTTTTTCTATCACCAGCATTATGTTGAATATCTTCATCACTTGTTGCACTCATTGTATCAAATTGATCTTCATCATCATCTGATGAATAACCACCAAAATCAAATGGAGGTTCTTTAGAAAAAAAAAACAAAAGAAATGATATTTCATAAAATTTTAATTCATTTACCAAGTATTTTAGATGTTATTAAATGTACTGGACCATCACCTTCAACCAATTTAAATGTCACTTCAGTTGTTTCAGTTAACAAAACTCGAAGATTAAATGCTGAAATCTATTTAAGAGCAAAAAAAACCGAAATGATTTTTTTTTTAAATTTAAGAAAAGAAAAAATGCAAGTGTCATACTGAATCATTTTTATGAAGTGATAATGAAAGAATTGGTTGATCAAGAATTGTTTTCTCATTGGCACTATCTTTTATTGTTAAATGTACTAAATTTCGTTGATCAGCTTTTGCTCCAACACCAAGAACAGCCTAGATTGAAAGAAAAGAAAAAGAAAATTATAATTTTAAAGTTTACAATAAATCTTCAAATATATTATTTCGCTTCATAAAACAATACAGAAAGTTTTATTCTCATAGGCTGAATAGTCTTGTGATTTAAACATCATCATTGTTGGTAACGAACGATGCATAATCTATTTGTTTTTGACAAATATTTCGAGTAAGCTTTTTCTATCAGACTGTATCCGAACTTCTGTCTTATTCACCATGATCACAAAACATGTATTAAACATCATATCGACTCATTTCCGGGTGTATTTTCTACTGAGAAAAGTATGTCGGACGGATAGGTGATCACCCCTCTCCCCCCCCCTCCCTCATCTGCCAGTACCTTTATTCATAACTAAAGTAAATTTCTATATAACGGTTTGATAATTTAAAGATTTGTTTGAGTAAAAAAAATCGAACATACACTGTGTACGACAAAACTTGTTTGAAGAGCAGACATTTCATCATTACTTCCATCATCATCTTCATCGGTTTCTTTTGGTTTTTTATCAGTATCATTAACAGGCCATTTAAAATGTTTTTTATTGGCATTTAATTCAAAGCCAATAATTTTTTCATCCAAAACCATTTGTTCACGCATAGAAAAGAAATTATAAAAGCAAAGAAAAAGACAAATCTGTAAGGTAAAAAAAAAAGGAAAACAACCAATTTATATTTCTACCCGCAAAAAATTTTTTTTTCTTTTTTTACTGACGAATTTATAAATAAAAATGAGTCAGATGTAGATTAATCGTATCAAATGCCTTCGAAAAGATTTTAAATAAATAAAGAATAGAAAGAATTCATTTATTCTTAAGAAAAAAAAAATTAATATCATTTCTTATATATCAAATCTATTATGTTTTGTTTTGTTTTGTTTTTTTTGTCTTGCACTTCAAATCAATGATAGACGTCGCTCTAATTCAGTGTTTTCAACAAACGAGAAATTAATAGCTTGAATATTTTTCTTTTGTAATAATCGTTATGTGCTTGTCGTTTTCCCATCAAAAACAATTGATATGTAGACATTTTTCAAGAGGAAAAAGATCGATTCAAAATGACATCATACTCAATAATCTCACAATGAGAGAAGTTTTTTCTTCTCTTCAACTAATGAAGCTTGCCAGTTATATATAGAAGAGAGAGAAGAAAAAAAAACAGCGTATCGAAATTGATCGATGAGGAAATATTCACTCCTGTTGTGTGTGCATTATTACGAAATTCGAGTGTATAAACGCGTGTGACGAACATGGAAACATTATAATTGTAGACTTATGATGCATATATATATATATATATATTCTCTTCGTTTTTTTCGCATTTCTAAAAGATCAAATTTCGATTTAATCATGTCAAGAATGAAATAATCCATTGAATCGTTAGCAAATATATTAAAGTCTATGACAAAGTAGTAAAGATTCAAATGGAAAGGTTGGATATTAATTATCTATTTGATAAGATATTCAAAGATTTTTTTGTGTGATGATGGTAGTTTATCGTAGTGGTTTTATTGGAAATGATCTTAATTTTTACATTTTTCTTTTCTCTAGGCGGACGACCCTTGGTTTCGCCGCCACTACGAAATGAGCAATGTTCATGATCAAAATCAGCTGCCGAAGCCTATTCAAGATAGTATAAGTTTTCTGAGAAAAAACTTCACAATGAATGGTGATCATCACTTTGCCACCTTCATACATCTGCCAATGAGAAGAAAATAATTATGATTAAATTACGGAAAGGACAATCATCATGTTAAGTCATTACCAAACATAAATAATTGATGAAATATCTAAAAATATATTCTGAAAATCTGTTATTTTTTTCTATAGTGGCCCGACTGATGAGTGTGCTCATTAGTTATTTTTTATTGTCTATTTTCATTAATTTGTAACTTCAAATATTTTTAAAAATTAAAATCAAACAAAACAATATAATCAATAATAATAAAATAATTTAATTTTTTTTTTTAACTTTTAAAAACTATAAGAAGATAATTTCGAAAATATGATTTTATTTTTTTTTAAAATAATACTTATCTATTTAAATATATCTCATTGCTTATATCTAAATACATTTCATGGCAATGAAATTATTATAAAAAGAAAATCAATTTTCTATATTTCAATTATTAAAATTACAAACAAGTTCAAAATTTTAACTCAATTAATTTCTATAAAATTTATAAGAAAGAAAAATTAAATATTTATTCTAAATCTTCTTCTTTTTTTTTCTTGTTCTAGGTGATGTAAAAACCTTTTTTTTTTATGAAGTACATAAATGTTCCTATTATTACATATATGTAGAGTAACAATTGATCACAAGGCAATGTATAATCAGAGCTATTATGTATTATAACAAAAGAAAAACAAATAAATCTACATGTATACTAATTTTTTCTCTATATTCTTTAGTTGCAAAAGACGAAGAGAAAAAAAGAAAAAGAAATATAATGTGTTTGCAAATCGATACTATTATGAAGGTAGTCACGGTATAGTGAGTCTTCTCTCTTTTTCTTCGGCTCATTTATTTAATTTGCCCTCGTCGAACAAACAGATTGGTAGTCACTAGTAAGAGAGAGAGAAAATTTTCTATTGGTTCTTTTTTTTTTTCTATACGTGCAATGTTGTCTCTCGTTTCGTAGGTTTTTTTTTTTTCTCTCTCTCTTTACAATAAGAGAAAGCATACATCCGATTTGCTCTTACTGTTGTTCGACATGCATTTTTACATGCAAAAAAACACAGAACAGATCCACTATTCTATATTACTCTTTCTTTTTTTGTATTTTTAGAAAAGTACTATAATGAGTTCAATTACAAATAATCCTGTAGAAATTTCATCATTCTATTCTCATCTTTCAATGATGCCATCATTAATTAATAATGTTCCTAAATTACCACCAAATATTTATCGACCAAATTCATGGATGGATCTATCAATGCAACCATATTTTTATTATAATATAGCGTTAGTAAAAAAAAAGAAAAAAGAAAATTTTACAAGAATTTTTTTTTTTAGTGTTAATGATCCCAATCATAAACGAAAAAATGCGACACGTGAAACAACGGGTACGTTAATGACAAACGTGTTTATTCCCATAAGTCAATATCATCATTATTATTATTTGTTTCTCATCATCATATAAGTTAAAATAAAAAAAAAAGAAGAAGAAAACGAGTCCGCTCATTTGCTTGATGACAAAAAAAGACGTGACTAAGCGAAAAATCTCATCTCGTTTGATATGCAGATCGATTGCATACGTTACATTCCTCTAGTGTGTGTGTGTGTGTGTCTATTGCTTTTCCATAACAAAAAAAAACGTATTAAAAAACATTGATTAAATTCCTTTGAGCCTTTTTAAGTGGATGGGATCATTTTTTTTTGTCTCTATATTCTTCTTTTTTTTTTCATTAAAGCTACACTTAAAGCATGGCTCTATGAACATCGGAAAAATCCATATCCAACAAAGAATGAAAAAATGATCTTAGCTATGGTTACAAAAATGACATTAACACAAGTATCAACATGGTTTGCAAATGCACGACGACGTTTAAAAAAAGAAAATAAACTTCATCGAACAACAAATAATAGTAAAAGTGAAGAAGACGATGATGATGATGATGATGCTGTTGATGAAGATGATGATGATAATAATGATGATGAAGATGAAAATGAGAATGATAATGAATCTCATATTAATAATATTGAACAAGAACAGACAATTAAAAATACAAATAATTTAAAACGAAAACGTGATGATAATGATACAAATTCATTCGAAACACCACCGAAAAATCGACCTAAAATATGGTCTATTGTTGATGTTGTTCAATCGAATGAAACTAAACAAACAAATTCATCATCATCATCATCATCATCAACAACAGCAGCAGCACATATAATACATCCATATATTACACCTTCTATACCATATTTATTATATCCACCATCATCAACAAGTTCACCATCACATTCATCTGAACATTCAACAAATTCATTATCATCACCAATATCATCATCAGCTAGTTGCTCACCGACGAAATAATAATTTCAAAATACAAAAAAAAA